CGAGCCTCATGTCCAAACGAACACAGAAGTGTATCTACACATGCAGACGAAGAGCGACTGTTTGAATACAACGAAATTGTGCCAGATATGTTCTATCAGACTGGACGGCTTAGTGGAAAATCCAGTCGACGTTGGTTAACCGAAGAGGAGTATCGACACGCACACACATACATCTTATTGAATTGTGAAGACATTTGACCCATTGAGCGTTTGTTTGACGAGGACATGATACGTCAACATCCAGATATTGATGGTGGTGGTCTGATCAAGATGAAAGAAACTTTCTTCTCAACTTGGTTATGTCAGTATGTAAGTATTAGTTAACTTCTTTAATTTCTGTCTATGTTTATTATTATAATATTAAATGTAACCATAATTGTCTCATTGATTTCAGGTGCAATAATCACCGCATCATCCAGTCTGGTTGAAAGATTTGATCCACGGTCCATAGATAAAGGTGACATGTTATCCGATCATGTTCACAAGAGGATACACGTTTCACACATTCGATCATGGTTCAGAACGACGAGTATCGAACTACGGAATTTGTGTTTGAGGTTCCGTAAGCTGTGGCGTACCAAATGAACCCGATTTCTATGGTATTCTTAAAGAAATCATGGTTCTCGAATATAACGGGTATGTTGGACTACGAATGGTTTTATTCAATTGTGACTAGTTTGATCATACACAGGGCAGAGGTATCAGAAAGAACGCTGCCGGAACTGTTGATGTTAACATCATAAGGAAGTATAAAAAATACGATCCATTCATCCTTTCATCCCAAGCTGATCAGGTGTGTTATATGCCTTATCCAAGTGTGAAACGGAGGCGTGAACAATGGAGTGCGGTCATCAGAATACAACCACGACGAATATCCCATGAAGAAAATGCAACCGATTCAACAATGCTACCTCTTCAAGAAATCATTCATCACGTCGAAGAATTAAACGCGTTGACATTGCCGTCAGTTGATAATCTTATTGGCCATATTGAAGATGATATTTTACATGTAGATGAAAATATTATTGAAGAAGAAGATAGTGAACCCGAAGAAAGTTATGTAAACGATGAAGATGAAGAGAATTCTGATTAAAAAAAATATATATCTACATTTAGCAATGCAATTTCGTTGCTAATAGATGTAGCAACGAAATTTCGTTGCGACCTCCATGCAATTTCGTTGCTAGTTTGCAATGAAATTTTCTTTATATAGCGGAATTTTGCAACGCAATTTCGTTGATAGTTTGCAACGAAATTTCGTTGCGACGTAAATTAGTAACGCAATTTTGTTGCTAAACTGCGTGAAATCCGATAGTTTCGGGCGAATTCACTGCACGCATTTACTACTCCGCGTTTGCAACAAAATTTCATTGCTAATTTACGTCGCAACGAAATTTTGTTGCAAACTAGCAACGAAATTGCGTTGCAAAATTCCGCTATATAAAGGAACAAATTTCGTTTCTATTTTCCACACTACCAACAACTTCACTTTCTCTCTCTAAACTCCTATTCCAACACCCGGATTCGTCTCTCTACCTCTATTTCCAAAAAGTTCGGTAAATTATATATAATTTGATAACACAATTATATTTTCGTTTATAATTTTTATAAATTTTAATAATTGTTTTATTTTGCAGGAAAATGGATAGGAGATTTGCTGCACGTAGCTACGGACGCGGTAGCGGTCGACTCCACCACAACAAATTCCCAAGCTTCACAGCGGATGCAGTACTCTGACATCACGTCCAATCCACAGAGGACGCGATTGCGTAAACTCCATCCTAACAAAGAGGATGGGGCATTGTGGTAAAATTTAATTATTTTGTTTAATAAAATTAAAATATTAATTTGATTAAAAAATATTACTTATATTGGTAATTTTTAGGTTTAATGTCGATCAGGCGGTTAATAATTCTGTCTCATCGTTTATTGAAAGTAATTTCACCGGGTCTTGGATGAATTGCTCCTCATTACCCGAGACCACTCAGCAACACTGGTTTGCTAGTTTTACTGTAAGTTAAATTTTATTTAAAATTAGTAAATTAATATAAAATTAGTTTATTAATTTTAATTAAGTTTTTTTAGCAATCTTGGTATTGGGATGAGGTGCATACCTCGACGGTCTATGAGGCATGGAAAAGATGTGTCATTGACCTTCTCAAATCCAAGATCAACAGGTATAAACGATATTGGCAGATGAAGTCAGATCGTTCTCCCCCGAAGAACATTGAAAGCAGGGTTAATTTGGATCCAGATGGTGGAGTTTTGGGAAAACCCCATCAACATTGAAAGAAGTAAAAACGCGGCCCAAAGTAGAAAGACGGACGTGACTCCCGAAACTGGTCCAAGCAAGCATACATAGGGACGAAAGCCATTTAGTCGGGTCATGCATCCATTGGTAATTAATTAATATATATTTTCAAATATCATATATATAATATATGGAAAATTATTTATGTTATAAATTTTTTATTATAAGTCCGAAGGTGTGGAAAGCAACCATTACTTCTTGATGTGTTAAAAGTTACACATACAAGAAAATATGGTACTATAATCGACGGAAAAGCCAAAAACTTGATTACCGAGATCGAACAAGCGGTACGTTTTTAAATATATAAATAGTTTTATAAATATATATGTATTATTAAACTTTTAAATCTTATATATCATATATCTGTCGTAGCAAACAACGCTTGAAGAATCTCAAGCAACTGCGTTGGGAATAAATACTTCAACGCAATTGTCTTAACAACAAATCGATAAGCTATATGTCAAGGTAAGTTGGTTTATTTTTTATTTCTGATAATTTTTTATTTATTTATTTATAATTAAATAACATAATAATTGTGTTATTTGAATTCAGACCGTAAAGCCGAACAAATACGGTCGTATATATGGACTTGAGTCGCTCAAACAAGATATCGTCAACACCGCTGCCGGAAAAGGAGGAGCACCAGTTGTTCAGGAGATTGTCACACTCCAGCGACGACTCCAAGAATTAGAAGAGGAGGTGCAGAACAATTTTGTGTCGCGAGTTGAGTACGACGAACTAAAGCAGCGACACAACTACCTTCAACTGCTAGTTGATCAAAACATAGGAAATGTCAACATCGGCGGTGCAGGAGGTAGCGGTGGAAATGATGATGCTCCCGACGATGGTGCTGAAGATGTGGCCGATGTTAATTTGAATGATTTTAATTTTCAGTAAATTGTTTTTATAATGTTTTTTTGTTTTTTTGTTTTTTTTTGTTTTTTTAAAGTTAGCAACGAAACATTTCGTTGCTAATAGCGTTGCTACGATAATTTTACAATGCAGATTATAGTTGCTATTAACATTGCAAGCAATTTTGCAATGCAACTTTGCAACGCAATTTCGTTGCAAGGTTGCGATTTTTATAATATGCGGAACAACCATTGCAACGCAATTTTTGTTGCTAAACATTGCTATTAGCAACGAAAATTTGCGTTCCAAAAGCGTTGCTACTAGCAACGAAATTGCATTGCTAATTTTACAATGCTGTAGCAACGCAACCTTTTTGTTGCAACTTGCAACGCAACCTTTTCGTTGCAATTTGCAACGAAAATAGCTTCGTTGTTATTTCATTGCTACTTTTGCAACGAAATTATTTTTTTTTTGTTAACTACAACGAAAAAATTTTCGTTGTTATGTCGTTGCTAATTGCAATGATTAGCAACGATTTCTGTTTTGCAACGACGCGTTAGCAATGCAAGAAATTTCGTTTGAATTTCGTTGCAAAACGCCTTTTGCAACGAAATTCCGCTGTTAACAACGAAAAATTTTCGTTGCAAAAAAACAGTTTTTTTGTAGTGAGAAGACGCTGGTTGAACATCAAACGAATATATATATATATATATATGGGATATGCATTAAATTAAAAATCATAGAATGTTAAATTAGCATGCATGCTTTAAACCTGCCGTCTCGTTGATTAAAAGATGATAAAAAAAAAAAAATTGAGCCAAGTGGTGCGTTTTTTACGAACCACAAAGTTTGTCACCCACACTTTATTCTTCCATCTTACCGTTTTACCATCCACATTTATTGAGTCAAGTTTGTCACGTGCGAATCGCATTGAAATGATTCTATTTACAAACTTTTTTATATTAATAGATTGAACATGTTTTTAACCGTTTCTGAATTAAGATATGTAAAAGGTATTTTTATGATATTTAAAAGGCTGTTCCACAATAATTTTTTAAAATAAATTCTAATATTTATTATAATGTTATTAGTATAAATTTGTAGAGAATCAAATAAACATATAACAAAAAAAAACTCAAAAAAAAAACTTTCTCTTTAAATTGGGTTAAAATTAGACCGTATTAAAGCTCAATTTTTAGGGACTGTAATTAATCAACTATTAAATGGGTTAATATTTTATTTGATGGTCTCTACCAAATCATTTATTCGCATTTGCAATTCATAATCCAACACCGAAACCAAACCTTGCTTCCTATAATATATAAATAATCTTTAAAAATACATTACCTTCACAAAATTTGACAAGAATATATCAATTTTTAATTTGACAAATAAATATACGAAATATTAAAACGTATAAAAAAATAACTCAATTTTTGAAATTGAAAACGACGTCTTTAAATCTAAATATGTATTTTGTTTCAAATAAATGTTGTTAAAATCCGTTAAAGTTTATGTATGAAAGAATTTTAAACAATTTGAGTGGAAGCATCAACACTGTAATTAAAAACCGTATAATAATTTGAATTTAAAGAGTTAAGGTATTTTTATAGTATATTTCAACATTGATATATTTATTTGTCAAATTAAAAGTTGAATTGATATACTTTTTGTATATTTTATAAAGTTCAAATATTTCTTATGCGATTTTCCGAATAATATATAACATAGTGTCTATGTGGACCTACCAAAACATATTCAAAAAATTAAAACAATATGGGTTATATATATATATATATTCATTCACATCTCTACAACAAATCAAGAAGCTAGATCATCAAATCTCTTCTCACATATACAATATGGCTTCTCAGTTGCAACACATCAGCAAACCGAAATTCTTTACTTCTCATCACTCTGAACCTCGTTCCCTTCTTCAAAACTTCCTCAAAACCAGACCAGAAACAGTACGAATCTTGAAGACAAGAGATCCACCAAAGACTTTTCCGGTCAAATGTTCTTCTTCTTGCATAACTCCACCACCTGATCGCCATAAGCTACACCAGAAGCGGACCATTTTCCCAAACAACGACCAAAGAGAAGAACAAGAACAAGATCAAGATCAAGAACAAGAACAAGAACAAGATGTTCCACTCCACCGGGTTTGGAGAGAAATCCAAGGTTGCAACAGCTGGGAAGGGCTATTAGATCCCATGAACAGCCATCTCCGCCGTGAGATCATACGCTACGGAGAGTTTGCGCAAGCTTGCTACGACTCGTTCGATTTCGACCCTCACTCCAAGTACTGCGGCTCCTGCAAATACCACCCTTCCGATTTCTTCGCAAGACTCGACCTTGCAACTCACAAAGCTTACACCATAACACGGTACCTCTACGCAACTTCGAACATCAACCTTCCCAAGTTTTTCCAGAAATCGAAACTAAGTTCAGTATGGAGCAAACACGCGAACTGGATGGGGTATGTGGCCGTAGTCACGGATGAAGAAGAGGTCAAGCGGCTGGGGAGACGCGACATAGTCATCGCTTGGAGAGGGACAGTGACTTATCTAGAATGGATCTACGATCTGAAAGACATTCTTTACCCGCCCAACTTCTCCGAGGACCCATCGATCAAGATTGAATGCGGTTTTCATGACTTATACACCAAGAAAGAAGATTCTTGTAAGTTCTCATCGTTTTCAGCTCGCGAGCAAGTCTTAGCAGAAGTGAAACGGCTACTTGACTACTACGGTAGAGAAGAACATGATATCAGCATCACTATAACGGGTCACAGCCTAGGTGCAGCCCTTGCGCTGGTCAGCGCTTACGATATTGCGGAGTTAAACATCAACCGCATACCCGAGAACAGCTACCAAGTTCCCATAAGTGTGTTCTCCTTCTCGGGCCCTCGGGTTGGTAATTTGAAGTTCAAGGAACGATGCGAAGAGCTCGGGATCAAAGTCCTTAGAGTTGTGAACGTGCATGACAAGGTACCAACAGTCCCGGGAATATTCGCGAACGAGAAGTCCCAGTTCCAGAAGTACATAGAAGAGACGACATCATTCCCATGGAGTTACGCACACGTCGGGGTGGAACTTGCCTTGGACCACACGAAAAGCCCATTTCTGAAACCGACCAAGGATCTGGGTTGCGCTCACAGCTTGGAAGCTCTACTGCACTTGGTAGATGGGTTCCATGGCGAAGGAGGGAGGTTTCACCTGGAGACGAAGAGGGACGTTGCGTTGGTGAACAAAAGCTGTGATTTTCTGAAGAGTGAATATGGGGTGCCGCCGTGTTGGAGACAAGACGAGAACAAAGGGATGGTGAGGAACGGCGAGGGAAGGTGGGTTTTGTCGGAGAGGGCTCGGCCTGAGGCTCACTTGCCGGAGGAAATTGCTCTTCAACTTCAACGTGTTCTTGGAGATGTCTATGGACTCTAAGAAACCATATACAGTTCATGTCAACGACAACGACGACGATCATGTTAAAATTCCAATTTCCTAAGAGAAAAACAAATATATTGTATATAGGAGGTAACCATTTCAGTTCGTTTATGTAAAATCAAATTTATTAGAACTCAATAAACATAACCAGAACTAATATAAAAATCGAATGTATATAAATTTTGTAGCATCGAAAACTTTTGAGTAAAACTGTAAAAACAAAGTATGAAAACGATCGAAGAAACCAAACAAAATTGATTTTTTTTACAAAATGAATATTTTTAAAAAAACGAAATATGAACAAAAACTCAGAAACCCATATAAAATGAAACGATATTTCCAATGCCGAAATCCCCCAAAATTTACCTACTTGCATCAATTTTTTTTTAATCAACCGATTATATTTTTGGCGGTCCATGCCTTGACCACCGGAAAAAAAAAAGGCTGGTGCTTTATCTATAGCGTTATCATTTCCAAACCAAAAACGCCATATCTTATGATGATTCATGAAATTTAGAGAAATAAAATTTGGAATGGTTATATGCAATAGTGGACCACAAAAATACATACAAAGATCCTACACTTTGATACTGGAATTGAATTGGACCACTCAATATATATACTCCATGATTCATTCATTTCCCCCACGACACCTTTGTGCGCACATATAACCCATTATTAATGAGGCCTCGTGCTTCTAGCACTCACACGCATCACATCTCTTACAACCAGAATTCATTTTTGTACGATTTGTTAAAAAAAAAGAAGATCATATCTTATCATGCCTAACCCCGCCCCGTATTCCTAAATCCACAATTTGTTTTATTTTGGGAATTATGATAAGAGTTGAGTTTACATATACATATTATATGGTTTATGGTTTGAGAATTATGTTTTCTATTTGATTTATTTATTTATTTGTATCGAAAAGTTGAATAAACAAATCAGATGTTTAGATTTAGTTTAAGAGAAAATCCCAAAAAAATTTGATTCGTTTATTTAATTGTAATCTATCTATATATTAAGATTCGAAAAAATTATATAATATTACTAAATATTTAGATTTAATTTTATTTATATATTTTAGATATTTATATTGGTTAAATAAAATATTTTGTGATTCTATTTTTTTTTATAAATATTATAATATTTTATATTGAATAATAAAAAGTTCAATGATTCTTTAATCTCTCTCATCGCCGTCATTCAAAGGGTCAATATTGTTCTATATTAGGAATTAAATTCTGTATAAAACTCCCCTGGTTCTAATTCTTTCGTTCGTTTGATATGTTCCTATGGTGATAGAATAGTAGTTGATTTTGCATGTTATTAAAGTTTTTTTTTTTTACATTTTGAAGTATAATGAATTACTGTAAATTGAAAGTAAGAAAATTCTAATTCACCGTGATTCCAATAATTATCCTACAAATCGCTTTCCATACATATTCATGTTGTGCCATTACTAATACGTTCACCATATACTTTATAAAATGCAACTTAGTCCAAAATTTTCCTTTAGAAAGTTCTTGCAAATCCATGCACATACATTTTGTGGTAGCTAGCTACTGTAGGAAATTATACCTTTTTCCATTTATATTATAGATATAGTTAAGTAACGAGATTATTTGAGAAAAAATAGTAGTAACTGGTATATATATAAGGAAAATTACAAGACGAGCGTTTAAGATGCGTCGGTCAAAAACCGGAGAGAATATAATAATTAGGTTGAAGAGAAAGATTGGGTGGGATAGACCTATAATTACTTGGAAACGAGTCATTAGAAATGACGGTTGTAAATTTTTAAATAGTTAACTCAAATCTGAAAAGAGTGGAAATAAAGAATTCATTCGACATACTCCAAATAAATTTGGGATTAAACTGATGTTGATATAGTTCTTATAAATACATAAATCTCGCTAAAAGTTGAAGTGGTAGAAGAAACATGGATTGCGGAGAGTGTGCCCCGCCCAAGCATACGAAGCCATGATAACGGCAAGAACAAAAGAATCAATGGAAGGAAGGAGATAAAACGGAGTGGCGAAGATAAAGTTTTTTCATCCAATTTGAATAGTTCAACCGGCGAAACAGAAAGTAAAACGTTTGTCTCGCTTCGAGTTTGAACTTCAAGTTGGGGAGAAGAGAATAATTTCAATCACATGACTTACTCCTGAGTCCGAGAGTACTTTGAACTTCGGTTCAAGATATCGGGTTACAAAAAAAAAAAGATTTTTTTTTCTTGGAACCAAAGGCATCTCCAAACTTGCAAGAGGTCGGTTGACGCGACAACACAAGATTGAGTGGCATTACGCGTGCAGTTGAATTATGTGGTGGGTAGATGCCGGAGATTTGGTTTAGAATCTCTAGTGTCAGTATTTTTTTTTATTTTGTTGGTTTTGTAAAAAATATGTCAGTTCTTTTTTTTTTTTAATATTACATTTTGAAAGATATTTTTTCTTTATATTTTGCTGATGAGTGGCTTGAAGAAATGTATGTTTACATGGCACGGTTCGATTAGCTGTACAAACGCTCCCTCACGTGAGAACCGACTGCCCTTAACCCTACAGATTTGTCGATTTAAATTTGGTTAATCTGAGTTTAAAATATCATAACCGATTTGGTTTTTAATTTGGTTCGATTCATGCGTTGTGACTGACAATATGTCAAAAATACCCTACTTTTAATATTTTTTACTTGATGCGCTACATTTCTCAAACTCTTATAAAAATATGTAAAATGACATTTTTATTAAAATGGGTTATAAGTTTTAAATTTAAACACTTTGATTAAGAGATCAAAAGATTAATCGAATGAGAGTAAAAAAAAGACTATTTGGAAGGAGCCTACAAAAATGATTTCAAAGTAGATTTGCAACGATTTTTTCTTTCAATATATTTATCCTTGGTATTAAATAAGGAAAGAATCTAAGGTTATATAATATTGGATTACGGGGTGCCATAGCTAGTCGATTTCAGTTTTTATTAAGGAAAAAAAATATTTTCTTAAAAAATTGTTTTTTGGGGTTTATTTAAAATTCGATTGGTTTTAAAAAAAGAATACCATTTAGAAATTTTGAACGGTTTGATTCGTAAATAATATTGAGTATTTCGGTTTGGTTCTAAAGAATTGTACCGAAACCCCCACCCCTATCTACAAATTGACCCAGACAGATAATGATCTTGGAGAGGTTCAACTCTTTTTCCTTCTTAATTCTCGTGGGTTAGTACGTGTAATATCGTTTATCGACGGCAAATCCATCCCTATTTGTTTCAAAAGACAAGTTTCTCCTACAAGATTAGGGCAAAATTAACATTAAAGCACAACCATGTTATTTTATGGGATAAATCGTTTTTTTACGAGATTAATCATATGCCAAATTTTGAAGAAATTAAAGCATTTCTAGTGTTTGAAGTGTGGTAGAGTTCCCATAAATATTAAGATCGAAAAATCATAAACATTATCATGTTAGAAATTATAATGAATTTATATTACAAAACTTTATATTTTCATTTGGTTTAATTTTTTAAATTTTTATTATATTAAGTAACTAGTGTTTTCTATTTTCTTACTTCGTTTCTATATTATATATAATTCCTGAATAAATAACATATTTCCAATAATATACATTTGGGACAAACACAAAAAAAAAACCTTCAAGTTTGCTAATTACACAAAAAAAAATACTTAAAATTCATCATAAGAAACCATCAACTATTAATTTTGAACAAAAAAACAATTAACTATATAAATTATTTAAACACAATCTTTTACTTTAAATTTGTTATAAAAAATTCATCAAATATTAATTTAATAAAAAATTAATCATCTATTTACATTACTCAAACAATATTTTGTTTAAAATTTATTATAGAAATCTATAAAATTTGAATAAAAAAATATATAAATTATATAATTCTAAAAATCATAAAAATATAATATTTATTTAAATTTATTATATTTTAATATTTAAAATTTGTATAAATATTTATAAACATCAATATTTATGATAAATTAATTTGCTATAAAATATTGTATAATTTAAAATATTTTAAATTTAAAGTAAAATATTGTTTTTAAATAATTTGTATAGTTAATGATTTTTTTATTCAAAATTAATAGTTGATGGTTTTTTTATGATGAATTTTAAGTGAAAAGTTTTTTTTGTATAATTAGCAAACTTGAAAGTTTTTTTGGGGTTTATCTGTATATATTTTTATTCGAATTTATAATGCAAAAAGTACACACGTATAGGGAGAGTTTCTCCAGTTTATTGTAGAGAGAATCTTACAAACAATAGTTATATATATACATATATATATATATATATATCATCTCTCATGTGTGTAAGCAACAATTAGTTATGGAAAAACCCTTTTGAGTATTATTTTTATTATTGTAAAATACAATGAAAATATATGCGGTCAAGTTGTGATGAAACTTGAGGAGAGCAATAGGAGGAATGATGATCAAATATGCGTTACGAACCAAAGCAAGAACAGAACTAAGAAGGGATTGGAGAGGTGAGGCCTTCTTGAGAGGAGAGAGAGTGAAGAGGATGGTGTCTCCTCGAAGACATGGAGGACAAGGAAGCTATGTTCTTCAAGGACGGTCTCTTGTCCAGTATCTTCATCGTTCTCTTCGCTTGCAACGCCTTGAAAACCGGCATTGCGCTCTCCTTCAGCTTCAGTACCGCGAAGAAGAGGATACGATAGCACACGAGTATCAGAACTATCGCCGACAAGTCCCACCACTTGGAGTGCGTCACCTTCACCCCGAATATCTTCTGTATCACCTCCTCTCCCGTCATCTTCGGATCCCCCGGCAGAAGAGACTCGAATTCCAGCCCCAGAAAGTCGTTCTTGTACGCCCCCTGCAATCCATATCCATTCTTTGATGAATCAGTAATGAAACAAACCAAGAATCTCTAGGCTTCATGTTCTTGAAACGATAAGCTTGCCGACAACGGTGGAGGCGGCCTCTACCCCGGGACCATACCGGTCGAAAACGCTGCACAAAACGGTGATATATATATATATGCATACTTTCTTCTCAAGAACATGTAAGAGAGAGTACCTGAATGGCCCAAGAGCCGTAACCCATGAACGAAATCGGGTAACGCCAAAAGGGCTTGGGTAGATCGGGGAGAAGACGGAAAAATCCGGATGTCATCATGATGATTCCCTTGGAAACACAACATACAGCACACACACGCACACACATATATATCATCTTCAAGCCAACAAAAGCATATGTTCGGATCTGAATCAGAAAAGGTCTTACAATGATGCCGGCTCCTGTGATGAGACCCATCAAGAAGTTTGGAACAAGAGAAGCCACGACCATCATGAGGCTTTCGATCACCGATACAGAGAAGAAGATGTTGAGGCAGAAGAAAGCATAGTGAGAAAACCCTGGCCGGAACTTCACCATCTTGTAGGTGATGCTTCCCGTGATGAGCGAAATCGTGACCAAGAACGGGAACGATGAGATGTAATTCGAAAGGATATACACTGCAACTCCATAGTATCCATTCAACCTCTCCTTGTAGAAAACCTGCGGAAAACGAAATATAATCAACGAAAGGAGACGAAAGCAACGGTGTAATAAGGAATCAAATACGCTTCGGAAATTGTCATCAAGAACCTTCATTTCCTCGATGAAGGAAGGGAAGCCTCCGATGGACATGAATGTCATGAAACCCGTGATGAATCCGCCGCAAGAAACTCTCGCCAGGATGGAAGTGTAACTGTGTCCCACGTCGAAGAATATGGTCCCAACACAGATAGATACAACGATATAGATCACGATCCTTGCCCAGTAGTACCCGACATCTCGACACATATTTACAAACGATCGTTTTGTCAATGTCCTGAGCTGCTTCAACCAGCTTGCTTCGCTTCCCTTCTTGCATTCCATCTCATGCCCTTCCTACAAGGTGTGAATGTTTTAAATCCCGAAGAACTCGAGGAAATTTCTTTTTTATTTTTCCGACGAGAATATAACTTTACTTACTATGTTGGATAATTCCCGAATCCTAGATTTTGCAGCCTTTAAGTACTTGGAGCGGCGATAGTTCTCGACAAGCCTCGCTTTGATCTCGGATGTTGCCAGATTCATCAAAGGATCTGATGAAGACGGAACATCCTGCAGTAAACAGTGACGTTTTGAGTGTAAAATAAGCGCAGAAGATGGGAAAAGATCGATGTTTTTTCAAGTTTCTCCATTTGAATTTCGTCAAAGAGTGGCATTCCGTGGTTAACAGTGAGGTTTGAGCATGGAGATTTCGGTGGATTGCAGCTGAGTTTCCGGTAAGATCGATCGATATGGGTCGATGTGTCATGGTATCAGAGCGTTTTGAGATCTTTTTGGGATTTGTAGGAGTATGGGTCGAAGAACGATTCACTTTCGGTATATGATTTGTAGTCGAGAAAGAGGGTTTGTGAAAATTGATAGAAATCTGTAACTTTTTTGTTTTGTGTTGTTCGAAGTACATTTTCAAGTGATTCAAGTGTTGAAAGCTTGGATTTGTAAGAGGAGCAACGAGTTGCAGATCTATTCTTCATGTGTTGGAATCTAAGAAAGAAGTCTTAAGAGAGAATGAAGAGAGCACATCGTTGGATTCAGACGAAGAAGGAAGTTCGTGATATGGGTGAGGTGCAACCAGAGGAGGAGCATATTCAAAAAAAAAACTGGCGCCGCTCGTGAAGATGGTGGTGTCATCGTGTTGACTCGGTCTTCAATGATGGACCCAATATTGGATCATACAGGAGAATGATTGAGAAGATGAAGAAGACATGTTGAATGTTTAACACTTGAGTCAAGGAGGAGTGTTGGTAATTGACACAAGATTCAAACGAGAAGTTACCAAACGGTTATGGAGGAGTTGTAGAGGCAGTTTTTCTGTCAGTTACTTGCTCTATAAGAGCAACCTTAACGTTGTAAAAAAATGTATTGCAGATTGGTGTGTTAACTGCAATCATATGTTGTCTTTGTTTGTGTGTTCAAAGGAGAGGGAGAGAGAATCTCTCTGAGAGGAATACGCCAAAGACAAGGGTGTGATAATGTATTTGTGTGGGTCATATGTGAGTGTATTGATTAGTGTATTTGTACGTGTTGTTGTGTTTGTTTTATAAGAAAAAAACTAACAAAAACTCACTCACCCGAAGTCTCTGAGATCCTCGGAGTGTAGCTGCAACAGCGTCAAAGTCGGAATTTATGCATCGAAGAAAATGATCAGAAGGATTCCTCTTCCTCGGGCAAGGAAATCCTGCTTCAGCGAAGAACTGCAGCCACAGAGGATAACGAGAAAACGTAACGAGACTGCAACCGATTCCTGAAACAAGGCAAGAATGATCCGACAAGCGGTACCTCGATAGCAGATTTGGCTTCACCAAAGTAAACAGTTTCACCTCCGGAGAGCAAGAAAAGGTCGTCAAAGAGGGCGAAAACCTCGCTGCTCGGCTGATGAATGGAAGAAACTACGGTTCTGCCATCCCGGGCGATGTTCCTAAGCGTCTGGATCACGAAAAAGGCGGAAGCGCTGTCCAGACCGCTCGTGGGTTCGTCGAGAAACAGGATCTGAGGCCTGGTGAGGATCTCGAGGGCGACGCTGAGACGTTTCTTCTCGCCGCCGCTGAGTCCTCTGGCGTGCCAGTTTCCGACAACTCTGTCGGAACAATCTTGAAGACCTAACTCCATGATCGTTCCTTCCACGACATCATTCACTTCCTCTTTGCTCATCGTGTTCGGGAGTCTCAGATGAGCTGAGTATCGTATTGTCTCTCTCACTGTCAATGTCCCCAACAAAATGTCCTCTTGGGTTACATAAGCCTACAAGAACCTCAGATAACATCACATACAGATGGTCGTATATATATGTGCGTCTCTATATATACCCTAAACCCTAAACCCAATATCAAAAAATACTTACGACGAGACCGTAGTTTAACCTTGCTTTCTTTCCGTTTAGAAGAAGGTTTCCGGTCATGATGACATTTCTTGCGAGTCTACCTGTATGAAGATTTCATTTCATTAAAATCTTAAACCATACTTCAAATATTATTATAATATGTTGATGAAACCAATTATCAAATAAAAAAACATTTTTTATATTGTACCATCTTTAGAGATATGAATAAGCGAATAATATAGGGCTATATTCCAATAGAAGATTATTCGATAAACAATGAAAGTAGTCTAATGAATTTTTTAGAAATATATATTTTTTAATAAATTGAAAAAATCTAAATAAAATGAATTTATTTTTTTTAAAATCAAATAAAACGAATTTAAATATTAAAAAACTAAAATAGATATAAACACCAAATATCCAACAAGCTTTGGTTTAAGGAGATTTGACTTTTGGTACACCATGAGGTTTGACTTTTTTATGTCACTTAATGAACATCGTTTAACTGACAAGTCACAATATATAAATGCGCTAAAATAAAAACACTACTAACACACCTTATTTATTTATTTATTTATATTCGTGAGAGAAATTACAAAAATTAATCCATGTAAAAAAATGAAATTGACTGCCCATAAATTAATTTTGCATTTATGAGGAAACTTAAATCATTTAATATCTTGTCTCGATTCGTCGGCACCGACGAATGTAAATATCAGGAATTTCCTACCTATATTATTTAATTTGATTTTTTATTAAATTATATTAAAATATCTAATTATAAATATAAATCAAGTAAACCATTTTCATTATTGCAGAGCATGAACTTATTAACTAGACACAATGTTGTATCGATCAGATACTATTATCATAAAAAGATAAACATAGGTAAAAAACGGTGGCCAATTCTGAAGATTATTTTAGTGAAAAACAAAGATATGACTCAATAAATTTACATTAATAATTACGACTAACCTTTTCTTTTAATATAAATATATTTGTAAAAAAATTATATATTCCAATATTCTCGTGTATTGTATGAAAGCTTGAATATGATCTAACAGCAACCAAAATTGATATACACATTCCAGCATGAAATAAAAGATCCAAACTTATAAAAAAATAATTATCGAAATTAATAAATTACTCTTTTATTTGTAACAAAAATTAACCATATGTTTTTAACTACAAAGGATAACAACACTTTCACATACTCATTTTTTGTGAACTTTAAATTATGTTTGAAAAAAATAAAAGTTTCTATACAAACCGAAAAATTATCCAACATGTCGATTTCTAAAATGATGAAATAAAAAAAAAATCTATGATAACAATACATAAATGTTTAAAAATTCCGTTAAAAGAGTATTGATTTTATTGCTATAATCGGGATCTTACACATGTAAACTAATTGAACTCTATTTATATTACCTGCGAGAGAATCTAGAAGGGTGGACTTGCCGGATCCGGAAGGACCCATGATGGCCATGATCCGACCCGGTTCGGCGTACCCGTTGAGCCCTTGAAGCAATTTCCGGGTCGGACCTCCGCCGAAGTTTGGTATAACCACCGACAAATCTTCCCACACCAAATATGCTCCTCCGCCGGACCCCGGCGGCGGCGGTGGCGGAGGAGGCCGGCGACGAGTACTGCTGCCACTACTGCTGCTGCACGTGCCCTCTATCTCCATATGCAGAAGACGAAGAATATTACAAATTGTATTCTTGAGAGGAAGAGGGGGTTAAGAAAAGATAGATGTAATAACGATATTTGTCTTCATCCCCTTTTTTTTTTGTTGGACGATGGCACCAATCACCAAACAACTAAACCCATTTAATGAGCTGCTTTAATGTCATATATATATATATATATGTGTGCTTATAGATTTCTTTAGACTCCCATGTTACACTTATATATGTCTACATGTTTATTCCTTTAAAATTATTGGCAGATGTTTCTAGTTTTTCTTTTTTTCGCTACAATAAGGATGGATGATATTGTTTAAATAAAATAAAATAAAAAATTATCAATAACAATGTTCTTTAACTAGAATTTTTAGCACACATTTTCTTTACCTATATATTTTAAAATATAAAGTGTGTTTCATCTTTTATTATTTCTTGAAGAAATTTATAATTTTATTTCTCTATAATTTGTGTTTAGGATTTCTATTTTGGGGATTAGATTTGGGTTTTTTAGGTTTTTAGAATGATAGTAGAAAGAAAATACAATTCAAGAAAAATAGGAGAGAGCAAAAAAAGGAAAGAGAGAGATCTATGAAGAAAATAAAAGAAAATTATTATTTTAAAATTAAAAAACGATCAAAGATCAGTATTTTAACAAATAATAAAGAGGTAAAGAGGTTTGCAGGTGTAAAAATTGAAATAACAATTAAATGCATTTTGTGGGTGTTTTAAAATTGAATGCGATGTGGTAGTTGGCAACCATATGGTTATGCTGAATGCCATACATCTTCGGCCTCACCATTTAATACCAATTATGGTGTGTGTGTATATGTATATATATGTGTATATATATAGAGAGAGAGAGTGAAACAGAAACCTTATATTATATTTATGTCTATGTATTGTCTACGTTGCAAATATACTTTAAATAGAGAAAAATGAATTTTAATTTTATTGTTTGAAACAGAACGAATTTTAAAGCGATTTTAGTTTGGTTATTTTAAATTTCAAGTTTTCAATTTTCAAATGTTGCGTCTTGTGATTCCAAATAATTTTTTTTTTATAATTTAAAAGAAAAAATATGTCTACACAAAAGCTCACACACACACATCTGAAAGCCCTAGTATGTACGAATTGCTGGTTACTATTATTAAATTTTATCATATTTGTAACCCACATTTTGGAAATTTGCAGAGGATCGGTGATGATTCGAAAAAAGAAAAAGCTTACTATAACGTCAGTTACAAGCTTTGGAAACGAATATCTTGATTCAAAATTCATACTAATTTGAAAATCTGCAATCAACGATTTGATTTGAAATATACGTTTCTTTTCCGAATTTGATATTTGAATTCAGAACGAAATATATATTTTACAGATCTTAAATACCATTTCCTTTCATGTTTTTTTTTTTTGTTACAATAATCGGTGATAAATGGACTCCACCTAAATATATTATATTATATTATATTTCATATTCATATACACTTTTTTTATTAACTTATTCATATACACTTTTATTATATCATATAAAATGAATTCCTGGATAATAATGTTATTAGGACCTTTAACAAAGTGTTTTTTTTTTTGGCAATTCTTTGTATCAACGTAATCGAATAATCAAGATCAATAATTCAAACTAACATTCTGCAAAAATGTAGTTGCCTCGATCAGGTGTTAATACATTACATATTTATTTATATATATATATATATTGTATAATGGTTTTGACGATTTTTTTTTTTAAATGGAAGCTGTTATTGTCATTGGTCATGAATTTGGCGTGCCTCATCAGTCATCATGTTCGGCTATGATTGTATTTTTCATCTTTTTTGGGTTCGTAATATAATTATACGTTTCTTGCCCCAAAAATATGGTAATAAAATATTGCTTTTATTAATAATTTTTTTATTTATGAAATATTAATAATTTTGTCACTGCCTTCATGAAAAAAAAAAAAACAGAGGACGATGATTCTTACAAACAACTCATGCAATTTCAGTGCATCACCTTATAGTAAAACCCAACAGGATCTTTTTATCTCTTAAAAAAAAACAAATGGAAAATCCATGAATATATAATTATCTAATTTAGACTAAAATAACTCAACATGATATAGTACTCTTTAACGGGAACATTAATTTTGCATGTCTAGAAATTTTTTTTACCTTATGATTTTTTATTCAAAGACTCCTATCAAAACTCTGAATAATGATAAACATTATAATAAATTTCAATAATAAACTATATTATCCACACTTACAACATTAGATTATCTGTTATAACATTCTAAAAAATTGAAAAAAATCCATATGAATACCCTCTCCACAGGAAGACTCGAGTTTTATTCTATATTTACCAGTTGAGTTATTTTTTTTAAACAATTTTAGGGTTTATCACATATAGATACATGATGGGGTACACATATCGGTTTGATTATTCAAAACCGAATCAAATATCATCCAGACCGAATTAAGTATAAAAATGAAAATTTCTTTAAAAATATATATTTTCATGAGGAAAAAAAGGAACCAAAATGAACCGATCCTAATAAAAAAAAAATATAATTTTATTAAAAGAAGAAAAACTTGAACACAAGATCAAACCAAACTTAATCGAAACAAACACACCTTACAATACTTTTAGAACATTTCTGGAGAAAAATGAAAAAAGAAAATTATTGCACCAAGTTAGAATATATTTCAAAAAGTTGAATTTATTCAATTAGGATTAGCTAAATCAAAGTATTACGGTATAATAAAACGTATTATGATACGGTAATATTGAGATATGTTCCTAATTAGTGTACATAGACTAAAGTTATATGACATAATTTATTTACTTCACATTGTGCTACGTTACCGTATTTTTTTTTAAATCATACAATACAATGTTCAAGAAAAAATCCCACAAAAATTACTTCTGAGACAATGAAACGAAGAGATTATAAAAAAAAAAACAACCACACAGAGCAAATCCCAAGACCGTTGAACACAAAATGTGTAGAGAGACAAACAAACAAGCATCGGACTCAGCCACATGCCATGAAAAGTGAGTCAAGACTCCCTTCACTAAAATCACAACTTACACCGTACAGAAGAGTGAAAAGGGATTTTATTAGTATCGTCTTCTTGGACTCCTCGAGCGCTGTGTCCTTCCAGATCTGAAGGAAGAACTTAAGCAAGGGTCAAGATCATGAAGAACACAATTAAAGGAAAACCAAATCTTGAAATTGATGGTTTCTTTACATGCCATGCCATGGGATGATGTAATTGATTTATTCCATTAATTGTAATATCCGCTCACATGCCACACCCATATAAGCTTGAATGCATTTTCTTGGGCTAAACCCTGTTTTTGTACCCTTAATGACCTTGTGGGTTTTCAATCACTAAACTCAATCAGACCCATCATCAAAAAATCAAAATCCAGAACGAAACTAGCCGATAATTCAACTCTACCTTAAGATAACTTTGAAATGCATATGATTATGAGAGTGAAGCTTATGAACGCCTACATGTGCAACCATCCACCAGAAATACCGTGGTTTGAACATAAATCACATCTTAAGGATTCAGCCAGAAACTCTGAATGCGAGATCATTACTAACCGATAAATCTAGTTCACTCGTAAAGACAAAAAGGTGAGAAAGGATAGACAAAGATGCGAACCTCATGTTCTTTCTCCTGTACGATCCAACACTGGGTCCATTGCTGAAGGCCCAGTCCACGTTGACCGTCTGCGTGAGAAGCTCGGCACCATTCATTTCTGAAATAGCTTTCTGTGCTTCTTCAAACTTCTCATATTCTATCAACGCATAGCCCTTGAAAAGACAAGAGAGTGCTCAGGCAAACTTAATACAACCCCCACAACAAGTTTACCAAAGAAAAGCTAAGGACAAAGTCTAAAGAAATCTCAAATCAAAAACCGAACTTGTATCTTTTCCATTTCATTGTATTGAACAGATTTCCAATTTTCGCTCTCCATTTCATTGTATTGAACGATACATTTATATACACAAGCACATAAAATCGAAGACACAACAGTTTGCACTTCAGAAAAGACTACGCCTCCGACCCCAACATATAGAGTAACATCAATACGAGTAGTTTTAGCTGTATAGCTACTGCATATTAAATTTGAAGAAATCGACAAAGCTCAAACACGAAATATGATTAGGAACAAGGAGGAAACTTCCCAACCTTGACAAACCCGGTACGGCGGTCGAGATTCAGATGCAGATTCTTTATCTCCCCAAACTCACCAAAAGCATTCAATAAATCATCCTCCTGTGCCTCCTCGTGCACCCCAGTGGCCAGAATAATCCACCCTTCAATGGCTGCACATAATTTCCTCCATCACACATAACGCAGACGTTACAACTGATCCAAAACCGCATACATAATGTTTACCGCCAAAATAAAACCCAATCATATTCCAAGTCCAAGAAAATGGAATAATTTCAAATTTCTATCCTTGGTTGCTGCAGACTTTAGATGTTCTTATATTCAGCACACCTACACTCCCACTCAAACCACAGTTCAATTTAGCCCTAATAATGCACACCTCACAATTGGGGTTTCAATTTATGAGCTTCTACAAAAGGCTCGAAAGATTTCCACGCAAGTCTAGCGAACTTATATCACAGTTAACAAATTTACGAGGGCTCATCTAGAAACCCTAAAAACAATTACTAAAAACAAAGCCAACAAAGACACAAATAATCGAAGAAATGCAACTACAAACACATCGCAAACATGTAGGGAGAGAGGGAGAGAGGGAGAGAGAGAGAGGGGAAGTGAATTACATCGTTGCGGTCCAGGACCGCCGTCGGAACCGAGAGAATCGAAATCACGAGAAGAGAGACGGCGTTGGCGATCGGAGTCAGGACCCTCTCGAAAGCCACGGCCTTTGGTTTTCTTCTGCGCAGAATCTCCGTCGACGCCGGAGATGGCAGATCTCAGCCTCGGATGTCCGGCGCGTGGGGAGGCATCTGCGGCGTCACCGGCACCGTCCTCATCCATCAGGTCATCCTCCTCCGGCTCGAAATCCACCGCTTCAGGCTCTGTGTTCGCCATAACCGTCGACACCGATGAATCTCTCCTCTCTCGACAATGGCCGACTGTGGATTTTATTTTTTTTGTTAAAGAGTATGAGAAACAAAGGCGCGTGCTTATGAGTGCGGGCGGATACTTAACGTTTGTGGGCTTGGGCTGCTTTTCCTATTGGGCCTTTCTTTTTATAGATATTTTTTCAAAAAAAAAATAACCAAAATATCACAGAAAAAAGGCACTTTTTTTTATAATTAAAGTAATAAAACACAAGGGAAAGTATTTGCTTAAAACCTAAAAAAATAATATCAATTCTTAGTTTATTTTCGAGTAAGATGTATTTCTAGAGACATGAATATTCACAATGACATAGTGATTCTTCTCTTCTTCTTCTTTACTCTGCTTATAAAATGCATGCACTCTATTTATATAAAAAAAATGCATGCACTGCATTTTCTCACCGAGATAAACCTTGAATTAGGTTAAATTAATTGTCAATTAACCAAACCGAATCAAATAATTCATAATTATAATTGAATCAAATCCATAAAAAATCGAATGATTATGATTTTTCTATAACAAAACAAAACAAATCGAACCCGAATCAAATAGACTAAAAGTAGCAAAATATATAAAAATTAAATGGTTATAATTTTCTTTAAACCGAAATAATCTGATCCTGAATATAACTGAACCAAACCCAAATGAAAACCGGAATAAATGGACTATAGATACAACTATGAGTTTGCAATTCAAAACGCGGTTTGAGATAACCTCCAGAACCGGTTTGATATTGTCTCCCTATCTCCTACAGTTAGTCAAACAGAAGAGAGTTGACAATCCATGTGGAATGAATTTTTTTTTATTTTATTCTCACAAGAAATAAGCAAATATTCCATGTCGCACAAATGGAAATTCTTCTTAACTTTTTTTTACAAATATTATAAAATGCAAAAACCAAAAATCAAAAATTAAAAAATAATAAAACCAAAAATTCAAAATAAAAACCATACTCATTCGAAATCGTAGTTTTTAGTTTTTCATTGATTTTTTTTACCAAAAAAATAGTTTTTCAAGTTTTTTTAAAAATAATTTCCTAAAAATTTAAATGGTAATATTTTTTTTAAAATTTTGAGATTTTAAAAACTCCAAAATTTCTAACCATTCAAGATCTTAATGTTTCAAAATATATAAGGCAAAAAAGATGAAAGCCGCTTTATCCATGAAAAGTTGATGATGTAGTTTTTAGCTAACAAAATCTTTGTTAAATCTACAAAATCCAAAAAAACAATAATTAGTTTCTATCTAGGGGCAGTATACAATAATTTCCCTCTCAGTCGCTCTAATCCCGCTCCCCATGAACTTCAAAAACCCTAAAACAAAGAAAAGGTGCTGTTTTTACGAGGCAAAATCTGAAAATGAAATGAAAAAAAATCCATCAAAACATCTCGATTCTCAACGCGGAAGAGAAAACGCCAAGTACCCACTACTCTCGAAAAGGGTCCCTGTCTCCGTTCTTCTTCTTCTTCTTCTTCTTCTTCTTCTTCTTGTTCTTCTTGTTCGTCGTTTTGAAAAGTTAGAACTTTGGCCATGGATTCCAGTGATATCATTTCCTTGCTCTTTGCCAAGATCAGACCACTAGAACCAGAAAACGCTTCGAAGATCATTGGGTACCTGTTGTTGCAGGACTTGGGTAAGGAAGATTTGGTGCGTTTGGCTTTTGGACCAGTCACTCTGTTGCAGTCGGTCTGTCAGAAAGCCAAAACCCACTTGGGTCTTTCGTCGGATACCCCGTCTACGCCGCCGCCATTGAACGCTCCACCGAGCTCGAGTCCGTTTCACAACGTTTCGTCGCTGCCCGGTTCGTCTTCGGTCGCCGATGATGTCGGTGATGCGAGCAGAAGCGGCGATTTCCTCGATGAGCAACAACTCAGCGACTGTTTGTCATTCCTCAACGATTCCTCCGCGAAGAATGACGAAGTTGCGGATCCTTTTGGGTCCTCTGACAGCAATGACGATTCCCATTTTCATAGAAGGAGTTTCTCAGCCAGTGATGCTTGTCTCGGGTCCGAGGATTCTGGTGTTGGCTACGATTATAGGTTCTCGCCCTCCGGTTACTGCGACAATTTCGATGGGCGTGGTTGTTACGGGTCGCCGAGTAAGATGGGTTATATTAATCGGCAACAGGAGGAGATGATGAAAATGAAGGTCGCTCATCAGCAGCGGATGGCGGCTGCTCAGTTCATGTCGGTCGGAGTTTCGCCATTGCCGCATGACAAGGGCCTCGATTTCCGCTTGCATCCGCGAAATGCTCATATGTATAACTGGAAATTAGACCCTTTTTTGTTGTTTCTTGTACATACCTTCCCTTACTACGTGCCAATGATGTTGTCTTGCGCCTACGTTTGGCTAGTAGAGATCTTGATTCTACGAAAATTGTGTGGCTCTTTTTACTGAAGAGCTTTGGGTAAGGGTTTCAATGCTAGGGCTTCAGGGTAGTAGCGAGGGGATTCTGGAAAAGCCTGCTTTTTTATGCTTTTCAGCAGTCGTGATTTCTAGTCTGTATCATCTTTTGACAACCTTTTAAGATTTCTGTGATGTCCACTGTTGCTTTCTCTGAGTTTGTTGTTTGAGTTCTCTTCAGGTAATCTTTTGGAGGCATACTTGTGGTGTTCATTTAGGTGGGAAGAGTCCGGATTTTAGACGATGGCTTTTGAGGGCCTTGTTGCCATCTTGTTTTCTTTTCTTTCTTTTATTTCCATTTTCTATGGTATATCTTTGCATCTGACGCTGTTAATACGTTTCATGTATGCACAGGAATGCATGACCTTCTTGTATTGAAAAAACGATTTGAGCTCAATCTTCCTTGTTGAGGTGTTGTTCAACTGTTGATGATGTTTGTTATTGCAGACAACAGCCAGGACAAATTGGCGAAGAGGGTCCCTGGTATGGTAGTCCGGGCAGGCATGAAAGGGGAGATTTTGTGGGGGATAAGTTTAATTCAGTCGCTAGACAGATATATTTGACATTCCCCGCTGACAGCTCCTTCACAGATGAAGACGTCTCCAGTTATTTCAGGTAAACTACTCTTGAGACAATCCGTATGTATGGATGTGGCAGTTATCTATGAATTCTCCGAGGATGACAGAGCCATTACAAAGCAATATATTCCTTTGCATTTTTCGCTCTTAAGTAGATGGAGCCTGTTCTCCCAAACGAACTTGCAGCTTGTCTGCTCCAGAAGGGTTTGCTCCTATATTGTAGGCAGATATAATCTACTCAACAATTGCCTCTTTTGATCTTGATCAGACTGGTTATATATCCATGAGATTGTCAACATTGTCATGTTTCTTGTTTCTTTAGCAAATTTGGGCCAGTTCAAGATGTGAGAATTCCATTCCAGCAAAAACGGATGTTTGGGTTTGTCACTTTCGTCCATGCTGAAACAGTGAGAACGATATTGGCTAGAGGGAATCCTCATTTCATCTGTGACTCACGTGTTCTTGTTAAACCATACAAGGAGAAAGGAAAAATCCTCGAGAGGTACGTTATCCTATGCCACTCGCGCGCTCTGTTTTGGCCTTTTGTCTGCTTCTTATGGCAGTTTGGTCTACCGACAGCAGAAGGCAGCAGCAGATGGAGAGACGAAACTTTTCTCCTTGTTCAAGCCCTTCAGGGATTGATTCCACAGATCTATCCGACTGTCACTTGGGTTAGTTTGGATTTCTTTCTTCTGGGCAGGCGGCCTCTGTGGATATTTCCCATCCATCAAAGCACAATCTTGGAGCAAATAAGAGATTCATTTTGTTGTTTCTTTTCTGGTTTTTGCCACCAGGACCAAGGATGTTTTCTAACAGGCAGGAGAAGCTGAGAAGAGAAGCCGAGCAAGCTGATTTGCAACATGCCATTGAACTCCAAAGGAGAAGGTTTGTGAATCTGCAGCTGCCCAACTTGGAGAATGAGTCCATGTACCGTCACCAGCATAGTCTTTCTGTTGGCTCTCCTCTTCTTTATCCTTCTCATGTCAATCAAAACATTCCCCTTCGATCAGAAAGCATCAATGAAGAAATCATCAAAGGTTATTATTATAACAGCCTGTGGGTGGAATTCACACATTTAAGCTCTTTCCATGGATTTTATTGACCTTTTTCTTCCCCATTTCCTCCTAGCAGGCAATAATGACACAAGAGACAGAGATCCTGACTCAGAAGCAAACAGAGCCTATCAGAATGACACTGCTGATAACAGGAGCCGAGAATCTGGCTATGATGGCGAAGCCTGTGACATGAACAAAAGGTATGATTTATTTCAAGATAAAAGATTTCGGTCGTGCTCAATTTCGAGGCTTTTAGTGTTCGTGTTTATCAAAATAGGCAGCACCCATTTTTTTATATGTGCTTTGTTATCATTGCTCAAGGCAAAAGACAAAGCGTGGAGAAACATTCTTCCTAATAGCTTCTTTGTTTTCTTCCAAAACCTCCAGTGAAACCCGCCAGCCCGAGTCTGAGAAAGAGAAATGCATGAAAGGTAAGCAATTTCTGCCATGGAAGATTTGTAACAAACACAAAGCTCGGCTTAAAGATGTTCTGTTTTTACGTATGTGGTTGCAGAAAAGTAGGGACCGATAAGCAGAAAGTAGAAGAAGAATCGTCTATATGTAAAGCGTTTTTTAACCGCAACAAGAAAGAAGGGTGGAGAGACAGTAGGATTACAAATGCGGAACATCATCTGCAATAGGATTACTACCACTAACCTCGTTTAAGACATGGATTCTCAGAAGGATAAAGTACCCGAGACTCTGAAGTAGGTTTTTCTTGTCATCTTTTTCTTTCCCATGCAATCTCTTCGGTTTTACCATCTCTGTACCGCACCGTTTTAACCTGGCCTGCCTGGTTCTGGAGAATACTGCATTTCTTCGCCATAGTTTTACGTGTAAAATGCGTGTAATTTCCAGCGTTTCTTTTGGTTTATGAACCTCTCTGTTTTCAGTATCAGATGAAACTGTAGAGAGGTAAGGTTAAATGGCTTAAAAGGAAGGAACTTTGAAGTCTTTGGTGCAACCCTCTGCTTGTGAAAAGATGAATAGTTTTTCACTGTTCACCGAAATTTTGCCAGTTAGTTATCTAAGAGATCATGAGTTCGATTCCACTCTTTTATGAATATTTTACTAACTCCATCGGTAACTGTGGTTGGATTCTTGTCGTTAATAATAATAATAATAATAATCAACCAATGCAAAATTTAATACCCTCTTTGTCTGTCTGTTTTTAAGGATGCTAAAGGGGTTAAAAATGGCCCATTTGTGCACAATCCAAAGAGGTAAAAACCATCGGTAACTCATCATGGCTCACGCCAGAAGAACATTGAAAAGTGAAAACTGCTTCAAAATGGATTGAATCTGAAACGCAGCCAGTTTCGCAAGAGAAAACAAGGTTCGGGGCTAAATATATAAAAATTTAAACTTTAGGGGTTCATATGAAAGAAGAAGAAAGTCATAGGGGAGAAAACAAAGAACGGGCAGATTCAGGGGTTCTTGTGACATATATGACTCTCTGACTCTGTACATGTATATATTACACACAACAAAGCAAAACAATAACAGAAAGAGATGGAAGAAAGAAAATGAGAGGAATAATTCCTAAACATTCTAACCACAACAATCAAAGATAAGATAATTATTATTTCAAATTTTCGGATTCAAGTTTTACAGCTTTATGTGAACTAAACCATTACATTTTGCTTTTATTGAACCAAGTATCATATAATATGGAATCGGTTCGACCACCGAACCGAATCTATCAAACCTGAAATGCCGGCTAGAAACATCTCACGACCAGGAATTTTCTTGAAGAAAGTCTAACGTAAGAAAACCATCATGAGATGAAACTATGTTGTCTTGTCTTAAAGTGATCAAAGATCAAAAAAGTCACCCGAGAGACGAAATCGCCAGCCTCACATTTCGGGACATCCGATCGTGTACTGGTTCCTGCGTTGAGGCGACAAATCGATAAACTTTTAACAGTAGAATGCCGCGGTAACAAAACTAAGAAGTCACCAGAACATGGTTCTCATAGTTATATAAAGAGACGATAAAATGCATTTGGTAAAAAGATTGTCCCTGGGCCGGGGCTATATCGATTCTCGATCCCGTGATTGTTTCGTACAAGAAAATGTACCTGCCATCGTAGCCAGTTTATTCCATTAGCTCTCAAATCCACAATTACTTATGAAAGCTAAGAAAGTTTGAACTCCTATTCAAGGTCTCTTTCTTCTTTCTCCCTAAATGTAAATATGCCTCGGAGGAGGAGGAGCGTAAAAATGGCATAAATAAGATTCCGGAATCTGAGCATTTATCGAGAAGATAAGAGAGACAACAAACTAAGGAAACCAGTCTACTTTCACAAGGAAATGCATCACGGGACAAGGAAGGCATACCGCCAGGCTAATTCAGTGACGAGATCTGCTGGAGCATCAGGCAGGACCTAACAAATTAGATATCAAGATAAACAGTTTCAGAAAAGATTCTCAGATCTTCTTGGAAAGACTAGAATTTATTGTTATGGAGATGTATAGTGTACCTTATCTTCATATGGATTGCAGTTTTCTCTAAACCACAATCTTAAGAACTCCTGTTGTTTGGGAAAAAAAATAGAAATCATAAATGAAGTGTTCCAAAACTGATGAAAATTGGCTCGGGCTACCCAGATGATGACAAAAACAGGAGAAACCACTCACCTTATCAACATTTTCAGGCTCAAGACCTTTCTCAAACCGTTCCTCATAAGAACCCGCAAGCCAGTACCTGCTCGAATCTGGTGTATGGATCTGTATATTCCAAAGTATATTCCAATAGACATGCAGATTATTGTATCAGTCAGTAATTTTATGAAAGATCGTGCATTAAGAATATACAGTTTCATGTTTGTCTGTGCGGTTAGAGAGAGAGCAAAAGAGGACAGGTGGACAAGGAGAATAACCAACCTCATCGATCAGTAAAATCGAGCCATCACTATTTTTTCCAAATTCGTATTTTGTATCAACCAGTATTAGCCCATGCTCCCTGGCAACCCGCTGAAAGTTTTTAAAGAAATGATCAGAAACATAGTCAACATAAAGCCAGCATTACAACCGCAAAGGGCATTTGGTTCTGAAGAACAAAATCGTGGAAAGTTCGATTAAAAAAAGACAACTACTACAATCAAGTGACATATTTGTTTAAGTAGAATAGTACGGCTTATTCTACAAACAGATTAACAGAAACAGATGCCAAAAGCTTGAAAGGAACTAATGTGATCAGACTTTGAACACAAAAGCGAGAAAGCACAGTTGAAACAACAAAACTTAACACAAACCAATCTAGGAGTGTCAATGATTGGAACAGTACACAGGAAGGTTAAAGGAGAAACACCAATATGATTACAAGAGGCCAAAAGCCTAACACAAACCAATTCGGCCGGTTACAATTTACAAATAACAAAGCAAGAAAGTGCACAGTAGAACAGAAATCACAAAACTTAGTTTCGAAATCTAGGGATGGGAATGATTAAAACTTAAGACATGGAAAAACACCGTTGAAAGCATTAAATTCATCAAGCAGCTTCAACTTGTGCCCACATAAGCTCATGTTTCGTTTATGTATTACAAACATTCTGATAAAGCACAAGTGTTGGAATTGAAGTAATCCTCATATATCAAGATATTTGATCATCTTGTGGTCAGTTTTCATGTTCTTGATCATTACAAGCCTAAAATACGGATGAAATGAGACTCACCTGCCCAAACTCGAACAAGCTCAAAGCTTTCCTACTTGCTTCATCAAATTCAGCTTGAGTCATCAATCCTTGTTCAACTATCTGCAAGGATAATTCACCGGAAATGTCAAGAACACACTAAAGCAATAACTATTGAAAGTAAATTTTGTGTCTTACAGTTAAGCAGATAGATAGGGCTAGCAAAGCAATATAACTCAACGTTGCTCATTTTATTATATTGGGCTTAAACCAAGCAACCTCGCACAGTATTTATTATTTCTTTATTTTTTCCAAGAAATCAAGCATGTAATAGCTGGTTAAACCTCATTAGGAGAGATGGGAACGTCATGATCCTCAGCCTTAGTCGTTGGAGTAAGTATATTGGCTGAGAGCTTCTGGTTTTTCACTAATCCTGCAAAATTCAGTAGTCAATAAAGTAGTGGTTTTTGAGATGCATATTAAAAAACACTAATATAAAGCAACTAGAGACACTATACCATCTGGGAGTTCGTTCCCGCAATAGTTTCTAACACCATTCTTATAAACCGTCCATAGTGATGTATCGGTACTTCCAGTCACATAACCTCTAACTATAAATAACAAAGACAAAAGAGAAGTGTATAATTAAACCGATAGTAACAACATGGGAAGCATCTGACAAGGAAAACTATAAGAGGACAAATTGTCACTGACAAAGAGAACTATTTGTAATTTCTAAAACAGATAATGTTACATTTAGACTATCTGATTAGAGAAGAATGTATCGCGATGGCTAGTAAAGATCAAATCTATTATCTATCATATGCTTTTAAATACCTAGCTAAATTTCATGGGAGATAGAAAACAAATTCTTGATTCCCTGAGTGAACAAGTAGAAGGAGATGGAAGAGAATAACATGATAGATAAAACCCTTCCAACAGCATCACACTCAACACAGGCTCTCTAGTTTCTTACATAAACAATGTTGTTATAATCTAAGACAGGATATTTCCTTTAATCAAAATTAATGATTTGGTTTATGTGTAAATGCGCATCCAGAAAACACAGCAAAACTTACCCACAAACTCAACAGGGAAGACTGAACATTTCTTTGCTATGACAACATTTTTGTCTGGAGATGAAACAATTGCATTTGGAGTTATGTGTTGTGTGTTATTGAACCACCACAAACTGGTCTCATTAAGAACCTTAAAAGAAGGCAGGAAAAGTGAACAGTAATAAGAATTTTGGCCAACAAAACCTATGCATCATTAAAGAGAGAGAAGAAAAAGCTACAAATTTTCTGTTGTATTCAAAATTTCAAATCTACCCAATCTGAATCTACAAGTCAAAACACCTGAAAATACAAACCTGGCCTTTGAAGGGAATTGAGGCAAGAACCCTGTCGAATGCACTCTGCCGATCAGTCGTCACCAGAACCAGATAATCGCCAGCATCATAGATATCTCTGACCTGCAATATCAGTTCCATAATCAGATCATTTCGCAAAGGCTAATCGTTTCTGACAAGAATGCATTAGAAAAGAAACAGCATTCACCTTGCCCTTGATTTTTGATCTTAGAGCAGGAACAGTTGAAAGAAGATCTGTATCAGAAAGACAATTAGAAAGCGAGTCTTTAATGGTGTCAAGAACCTCTCCTTTTCTGGTACTCGTGATCAGATCATCAAGTGACAACTGTTGTCCCTGGTCTTGCTGGTTTTGGGCGTTGCACTGGCTAGACATAACTGATGAACACAATCTGGCGTACTTTGTGAACTTGGGTTTCGCCTTAAGAAACGAAACTGACGCAAAAGATGGCTTCTTTGCAGGGTTTTCTGATACACAGTGTGGTGTTCTTGCAGGGTTTAGCGTTGACCTTACACACTGAGCCATTGCAGAGAGACTAACCTGCACCTGAAGCAAATGAGATCAAGACCCAACAGGAACCACGAACCCTGAAATCAAAATCCGACACCCTAAATTGCAAAGCAAAATCTCAGAACACAAACCCTGAACTAATCCGTGAAATGAACGAACTACTTCAGTTGTAAAGACGTCGGAGAAGTAACAGGAAACGATTGCGGCGGCGGAGCTACTTAGTGCGTAATTTCCATGGCCGGCTTCGAAACAGAATACGTTCCAAAAGCAAACTCCAGTTAAACTCTGCCACTTCCAGTTGCTTTGGAGCTACTGTTCGAACCGCGACCAACGCACTAAACGCAACCGCAGCATTGGCGTTTGCAAACATACGATAATGATGTTTAAAGATAGATTTGCACCGTAGTTTTCTCACGAAAACGCATATTCAAACGGTGGTTTTTTGCCGCCGATACGTCCCAGAGGTCTCCGACGGAGTCATAAGGCCGGAAATGAGTAACGACCTTTGGAAGCTCCGGAGTCCTCGAAGGAGGAAGAAGAAGAAGAAGAAGAAGAAGAAGAAGAAGAAGAAGAAGAGAAAAAGCTTACCGGCGACTGAAGATCTCCGGCGCCGGAGCAGAAATCGTGGCGGAGGGGAGCTTCACGGGGAAATGAAGACCCGTTAGGGTTTTTGTTTTTGTTTTTTTTTCCTGTCTGAGTGCATTTGTTTTCTTTTTCTTTTCCTTTTTTAGTCCATATTTTTATAGAATTAAGTTTTTCTATTAAGATTCCTTTGCCTTTTAAATCGTGAAAAATTTAGTGTTATTAAATGACAGATTTTTTTTAAAAAACTTTTATAGATTTTGTGATACATTAGATAAGAGTAATATCCATATATAATAAAATAATATTAAATCAAGAAAATTCTATTTTGTAAAATATTCTCTTGTTAAAATAATACCATTCACCAGATAAACCAACACAATTACAGTTAAAAAATTGCCTAGTAGCGACAATTAAAAAAAGAATGACTTTGTCTGTTCTCTCTCTCTCTCCCTCCGATTATGCTCTCCTAAAATGCTCACACACTTTATACGTTAAATGTATTGTAGAACCTTAATTGTGTTTTTATGTTTGTAATTGTCTTTATAACTGCCGCGGTAGTTAGTGTTTTTCACAACTGCACGCAAGGTTGGCCTTTTGGATTTGATAACCTTTATTCGGTATTTTAAAATTTGTATCAAGTTAATATCGTATATTTTTTCGGGTTCGGTTTGATTCTGGTTTCGGTACGGTTCGGTTTTGTTAAAAAAAATTAGGTTTTCTTTAAAAAAAATCGATTTTTCAGAAATTTTATAAAATTCGGTTTGGTTTAATTTCGAGAAATTTGGTTATATTTTTATATTTATTAGAGATTTTGAATGATACCGTTTAAAAAAAATCAAAATTTTCGATTTGATACGGTTCAAAAATTTTGAAATGTGGGTGAAATGGCCACATCTAAGTGTAAGTATAATGAACTTTTGTTTTTATGTGGTTGATAGAATGGTAAAGTGGGTAGACCTGAGTTCGAATCCGTCTTGGGCCAAACTTTACCCAAAAAAAACAAAAAAAAAACTGTACGTATAATGTACGTATTTGGATTTTAAGTTGGGGAAAAAATTTCAGACAATTGTGTTCTGTTCCTTCCTCCTAAATCTGTCTTCTCATCTACAACTGAACCAAAGTTACAGATACATGCTTTGATCTTGTCTTCTGTCTGATAATTTTCCTTGTAGAGTATGTACACTAATATTGGTCATGATGTGATGGAATCCATTTCCTTGTTGACATGAGGGATTGCATATGGTTTTTACATAAAAGAAGAGCTTCCATTAGAGGCCAAGAACTAGTTCCACCATGAAAAGCTCTCCCCCAAACCTAATTCCAGATGATGATGATGATGATGCAGGCTGAATCAGTCCATCAACCATCCCACCAAACACGTAAACGTACCGCCCTGAACGATCAACACAAGCACGGTGGAAAGACTGACACTTGGGCCCGTACGAGATTCTTTTCAGCCTTCTCCAGGCCGATGACCCGTCTAGGCTTACTGCCGGCGGCTGCAGGCCGGCAGATGGGATGGTGTTTACATCCAATGCCCAGAAATCGTCTTTCATGTGCCTGTGCGAATCCTCTCCCCCGTAAATCAGGAGCCAACCTCCCAATATGAGCGTTGCCGAGTGACCAACCCTTGGCAGTGAAGAACTCGCGGGGACGTTGTGGAAGTCGTAGAATATCTGTATCCATTGGTTGGAATGTTCTTGAACATCCAAGAGCCAGACATCGTCCAGCACATCGTATCCCAATCCTCTCCCTCCGAACAGAACCACTTGGTTTCTCCTTATGCAAGTCAAAGAGTGTCCTGACCGAGGTGGTGGTGATGGATGAGACAGCAACATGTGCCATGTCCCCGAGTTCAGATCCTCGGAAAGTTCTAGAACCCAAGTATCCCCAAGTCTAACTCCATTCAACCCGATTCCTCCATGTATAACCATCTTGCTCTCACCAATGCAACAGGCAGCATGAGCACCACGACAAGGCGGCTGTGTAGATCCAACATTGAGCAACTTCCACGAGAGTTCCTCATGGAACGTCACTCTT